GTGGCAATAAATTTTCTCCTACTGTTAAACAAGTTATTAAAATTATAAATGACGTTTTTCCAATAAAAGATTTTTGGAAACATGTTTGTATTGTTTGGACTAAATGTTATTACTCTCTTACCAAAAACCAATTTGAAAAAGGTAAAAAAATCAAAGAACAATTAAAAGAAGACATAATTTCATTTATAAACCAAATAAATGGAACAAATGAAGATATTGATATTCCAATGTATTATGTAGATTCAGAACCAGATGATGATGATGGCGATGATAAAAAACCAGATGAAAAACAAGATAAAGACAATGATAAAAAACCAGATGAAAAACCAAATGAAAAACCAGCTAAAAAACCAGATAATAGCAGATCAGAAAAAGAAATAGAAAGAATTAATTGAATGGGGAGGAGGATTAGAATTAATTGATGAAGAAGAAATCAAGAAATTAAACGCTGAATATAAAGAAATTCGATTTGAAGAAAAAGAAGAAGAAGTTAAAATAATAAAAGAAACAGAATCTAGTATAACACGTGAAATTAATAAAATCGGAAGATGTATTAAAACCAAATATAATGGAGATGAAATAGAAGGTAAATGTTATTTAATTAGTAGTAGAATTGTAACAGAAAACAAAAGTAAACAAGAAGACAAAAAAGAATCAGAAAAATGGGGTTTTTGGAAATGTGTAGTTGTCATACCACTGGCTGTTGGTGGTGTCCTTGCTCTTGGTGGTGCTGGTGTTGCTGGTGTTGCTGGTGTTGCTGGTGTTGCTGCTGGTAAGGTTGCTGCCCTTGCCATTGCTGGTGCTGTTGCTGGTGTTGGTGCTGGTGCTGGTGCTTATTTTATACCTAATGATAAAAAGACAGTAACACCAAATTAATTGAAGTGAATTAAGCATTTTAAATGATTTATGTTTTGAATTTGATAAAAGAAAAATGATAAAATACTTTCAAAACAGATAATAATGTTTTTAATAAGTTTAAAAAAGAAATAAAAAACAATAAATGTATTGAGTAGTGATGAAAATATTGTTTGTTTATAGTTGTATAAGTCAAACTACATATAACACATTTTTTGTGTGAATTTCTTCATATTCATCATTCTCATTTCTTTTTTGTTTTTTCCTTTCCATGTAAAATATTTAACATTTTCATTATTTCAACTGAATGTAATTATTTTATAAAGTGTTATGTTATTTTCATTAACTATTCTAAATTTGTTTCATACAAATTAACTATAAATAAAAGGGGTATGTTTGTTTTAACATTTTAAATACGATAGATTTATTTTTACATCAAATAACTGACAAACATCATTCGACAAACAAATATTTTGTGAAATAACCTAATCGTAGTATTTAAATGAATAAAAACTACAAAATAAACAATGAGTGTAACAGAAGATAAACCAAAACAAACAAAATTTCTTTTAATTGGAGAAACAGGAAATGGTAAAAGTTTACTTGGTAATTTCATTTTACAGAAGAATGTTTTTGAAGGGTGATGATACAAAATCAGAAACAAAAGAAGTTGTTGAAGAAAATGGAGAAGGAGATAGAAGTGATTTAACTGTTATTGATACACCAAGTCTTCAAGAATCAAAAGAATTTAATGAAGAGTTTTTGAATGGTATGGTTAATATTGTTCAAGAAGAAGGAGGAATAAATG